AGAATATTTATTCCATCTCTCTGTGAATTTATGATTGGCTGTGTGGAATGATGAGTGGGATATTACGGTAATTATGCAACATAGCTTCTCAATAGCACCATTTTTTATTAAAACATCTCAGGCTATGACATGGAAATGTCACTGGACAATTGTTTTTCTGTGTACCTCATCTTTAAAGTTTAGGTAGTTGACATTTTATCACTCAATTATCTTCATCAACATCAAAGTCTATGAAAGATCCCTTGGTGATTTGATATTAGCAATTAGTGTAAAGAATATATATAGACTATTATTATTCTATGTATAAAGAATATACAGAATATATAGAATTTCATAAGTGGTCCAAAGCAATTTTGCTATACTAAACTGCTCCCAGGCTTTACAAGAGATAGACTGGATTATAAATGCAGACTAAACTTGCCATCTTAATGGACCAAGGGTGAATCATAGTGTCTACTATCCTTTCTTTGAGATTCTCTTGGAGAAAAATAATTAATGGTGAATACTACAGTGTATATTTTTGCTTGCTTAATCTTTCATGGTAGCTGCTTTTATTTGGCATGAGAGCATATCACAAATTTCAGTATAGTTCTTCTATCTTAGTCTTCTGTCACCGTATCTGCAGTTGAAATAACTACACTTTTGTTACATGAAAGAACAGAATCAGAAAGTGGACCTTAAAATGCCTAACCTCCTCATTCCAAAGTTGTCCTTCCAAATTTTATGTTTGAAAGAGTCCTTGATCACATATATTCATTCATTCATGCAATAAATATTTACCTTCTACTTTGCAAACCCAATGCAAGATCTCTTGGTGAATAAAAGAAGTCTCCTCCTGGTGTATACTATCAATGTTTTAATTATAATAAATGCAAAGTGGAATTTACAAAGATTTAATAGGATACACTGCATCCTATCTGGCCAAATTATCTTTTATAATTCTACCATGAGATGATACCATAAAGTTCCAGTCTAGTGCTCTCCTTTGTCAGATGAGGAGAAAATAAGACTCAGCAATGTTACATGACTCATTTGCCAGAAAGTGACAAGTAGAACCTAGCAGGAGCCCAGGGCTCCATGTGGTCATTACCATAAACAGGTCTGAGATTCTGGGTCAGTTGTATAACCTTTGGTTGCATATGTAAAATACTTGCATTTCAAGTATTTCAGGTGCATCTTTGTTTCAAAACAGGTCCACTTGTATATAATTAATGTCTGCTCTTTAACTCATGCCAGGCCATATGGACATACAAACCGTAAATTTATGTTACCATTTATTCAGACAGATATTACCAAGATTCCTAGTCATTTTCATTGAAGCTGTTTAAACTTCATCTCTTTTCAAGGTGATTGACATGTCAGTGATGAATAGCTAAGATAAAAAACTGCAAGATAGAGAAACACATCTTAGAATCCACATGAGAGGGACATGTATGCTAATTATGCATTGACTTTAATTCCTGGTTTGTCATAGTTGCCTGCAGGTGTGTGTCTTGGCTATGTGTTCTCAGGGCCTCATTTATATTTGAGATTTTCTTTAATAATGTTGCATCCACAAAGAGCTCTTTAATCTTGGACTCATTTGCAATGATGATTGCAGGTTGTAGCGTTTTTGTTTTTTGGATATTTTTTGTTTCTACTTGGGTTTTGCTTGTTTTGTTTGTCTTGTCTTCCCATGTATTTCTTTGGAAGACCGTTCTGGGACAAGCTTGTTGGCCTGGGTGGTGTACAGATTTTCACTTTTGGCTTGTTGTTGTCACTATTGATGAACAGCTATTCACTGTGGTCCACCCCTCACCCACCCATCAGTGGCTGAGGAGGAGGCTTGGCATTGGCAGGTACAAGGTAACCTTGAGATTCACTTAGTTTATTTTTAAGCAGGAATGATTTTTTTTTCCTCCTCTGCTAATAGAATTGAGGGCTTGAGCTCGTTAGATACATTGTGTGAAAATACAAGGATACGTGGACCTTCGTCATCTCCACATATTTGTTACATTCCCACTCAATGCCCTAAATTGGATGATGCCCTGTGGCTATGCCCTATTTAAACTTGCCCCAGAGATACTCTGCATTCCATGGTTTGGCCACCCTTGAACTTCGCTTACACTTGTGATTTCCTCTGTAGTTCTTGGCCTGACTCCAGATCTCTTGTTGCTTTCTTGGCGTCTTCCAGCTTCTGCAGGTTAGCTATAGGGCCTTGACTGAGCAGTTCCAAATATATCAGCTTAGACATTGTGAATACTTCTCCCAGGCATCTGAGTCATCCATGACGTTCTATGCAGCCTTCTCAGGCCTGGCCTCTTCAGTGGCCTCTGGTAAACTCGGGTCAGTGCATATTGGGAAACTGCTTCACATGAGGTAACAGTTGGTTAGTCCCCTGTTTGATCATATTCCTCATTTTTACCTGAGTCCTTAGCTTTACAGAAGTTGGTAAGTCCCTAATAACAATCTTGATGTAGATACATGATTTGAGGGGTCATCCTTCAATTGTGTTGTTTTCTTTGTTTTTAAAAGGAAGGTTCAACTTTAGCCCCTAATTAGCCTCGTCTTTGATATAGCTACTTTTTGGCTTCAAAAATATGATATGTGAGTCTTAAAATGTTATCTGACAGTTGGATTTTTTTTTTTTAATATGCTGTCCTGGTGCTTAAATTCAAGGCCTGGACACTATCCTTGAGCTTTTTTGCCCAAGGCTAGCTTTCTATACTTGAGTTACATTTCCACTAACCAGCAGTGTGGGCAAACTCAATGCTTATGTATGTGCTGTCTTTATGCTGGGCTATAAGAAGTGAAGATATATTTTATTTAGAAGAGAGATTATAGTGGTGGTAGCTCACACCTGTAATTTTAGCTACTTGTGAGGCTAGGATTGTTGGGATTGCAATCCCACATAGTTGGCCTCTATCCTGTCCTGTGCTAGAGTAGGAAATGAGACCCTATCTCAAAATAACAAGCAAGAATCAGACCTGGGGGTGTAGTTCAGCAGCAAAAACGCCTGTCTAGCAAGTATGAAAAACTTTGTTCAAACCTTGAACAAAGATGGGGAGGAAATCTTGGACAGTAGAGGTGGCCAACATAATATCTTCAGTATAGATATGTGAATCGTTATGACTGTTACCAAAACCAAGCATGAAGACATGTTTACTAATTAATCCCATATACTTGTTTCTTGAGATACATGAGCATAAGATAAATGGTAACATGAGAAAAATTACTGCGTAGTATGACCACAGCTGTTTATTTCATACATGGTATGAATTAAATGGTTTTCCCATTTATAACCTTTTATTTGTATGCATGTTTTAAAAATTCAAAATGATTCTTATTGTCTACCTTATCCTTGATGTAGCTGCCACCCCCCAAGAAAACTCCTTCCTAACTCCAACTGTGTTGCTATTGGACCTAGTTATACCTGTGTCATTTTGATTTACACACTGTGAAATCAATTCCAAATATCTTTGTGATTGTCATCTTGTTCTTACTAGTTCTTAACTTGGTCCAAGAGAGGATGGTATGACAGGCCAACAGTCCATCCAATCTTTCTGGAAAGACAGGTCATGTTGTGCGTGACAGGACTGGGCCTTTAACTCAGTGCCTCTTGCCTGCAAGGCAAGTGCTCTCTCACTTGAGCCACATCCCCAGTCCCAGGTCATAGAAGTACTTAGGGGTTTTCATAGAAATGGTTAAGGAACTGTTTTTCCGTAATATCTGGCAGTGCCAAAGGAATATTGCACACCTCTTCAATCAAGTAGAATTTCTGTGGGGCTTCACATGCTCAGCCATTTGATCTTTTTTGGATTAGCATCTTTCTTTTTAAAACAGCCCTTAAAAAAGAGTTTTAGGTTTACAGCAAAAATGGAGCAGAAAGTACAGAGATTTCCATGTTTTTCTGCCCTATACTTGTACTACAGTATCCCACAACAGAGGGATGTAATTGTGGAAGCTGATGAATCATTATTACCCAAGTCCATGGGCTTCCATGTTTGATATTGTACCAGCTACGGGTTTCTACTATTGTATAGCAATATATAATTTACTATTGTAACGGAATATAGAAAGAATAGTTTCATTGCTCTCTAAATCCTCTATGCCCTGGCCATTTATTGCCCATTCCCACCTACCCCTAGCCACTGGTGTCCACTGATCTTTTCTGGTGGGCTTCTTTCACTTAATTATGCGCATTTACAATCCTCTGTGTCTATTCATAGCTTACCAGCTCATTAGTTTTAGCATTAGATAGCCATCCATTGCCTGGATGTTCCACAATTTATTTATTTACTGATGGCATTATGGTTGTTTCTAAGTGTTGGTAGTTCTCAGCTATGTTAACATCCATGTTCAGGTTTTTATGCTAAATTTTTGGCTCTTTCAAGAAAATTCCAAGGAGCTACCTTTACATTCTTGAATCAGATGGTAAGGGTATGTTTAGTTTTGTAAGAAACCAGAAAACTATCTTCCAAATGGTTATACCATTTTGCATCAGAGGGTGAATGAGAGGTTCTGTGACTGTATATCCTTGCAAAGCATTTGGTGGTGTTGGTGATCTGGATTTTGGAGAATCTGTAGTGGTGGTTAAATTAGGTACTTTCCCCCAAAATTGTTTTGAGGTGATGGAAATGGAACCTGGGTCTTTGCCATTGTTACCAAGTACTGTACCAATAGAGCACCCATATTTCATTGTTTAAATTAGCAGTTCCCTTATTGCATATGTTGTGAAATGTCTTTGCTATTTGTATGTTCTCTATGAACTGTTCAGGGTTTTTTGCAGTAATTTCCTTATCATTGAGTTTTAGAAGTTCATTGTATATTTTGAGAAACTAACCCTTAGCCTTTGTCTTCTGCAAATATTTTCCCTGTGTGCTACTTGCTTTTTTTGTAAACATCTTAGATATAGAAAATCCAATTGAGTTGATCTTTCACAATTGAGCAAGCATATGTGACTGCTAGTAAAACACATTGCAGACTTCCAACTCTAATTCCCTTGATTCTTTTATTTCCAGGTCAATGTGACAGTGGATTACATTAGACCAGCCAGCCCCGCCACAGAAACAGTGCCTGCCTTTTCAGAGCGTACCTGTGCCACTGTCACCATTGGAGGAATGTAAGTGGTCCAGCTAGCACGCATCAGCTTTCATCTGAAGTAGCTAAGAGTTCTCTACTTAATCAAGTCTCTCCTTTCTCTCTGCTTTGCTTTCTCTTGCTCTTAACCCAGTGGTTTATAATTATGTGCCTGTGTAACACTTTAGATTTGCAAAGTACTTTATAATCACTCATTAGCTAATCATATACTTTCATTATCGTTTTTTAAGATTTATTGGGCTCTGTGTGCTTTGCTCCATGAAGTACACATTATTACTATTAATAATTCTATTTATTGAATATCAAGCTGGCCCTAGGTACTATCCAAAATTAGTTCAAAGGATTTTCTGTATATTGATGTAGGAATTTGAGTTGTAGATGAAAGAGGGGGCTTGGAAGGAGGAGAGGAAGAAAAAAATAGAAAGGAAGAGGAGTAGAGGTTAACTGTACATATTCTTTGTACTAGAGGACTGTAACCAGTTGATAGAGTTGCTGCTGTTCTGGCTGTGCTATGGTTATATACGCCAAGGTCTCTTGGTTGTCTGGTTGATGAACAGAACCGCTGAAGAGAGCAATCTGACAGGGGAAGGAAGAAGCCTGCTGGGCTAAGCTTCCACAATAAATATTAAAACAATCAGTCAGTCCCTGGTAGCAATTCTTACTTTGCATAAAATATACCAGCATGGTAATTGTTTCATTCTCTATTTAACAGTCTTAAATGATATTTGTTACCAAACTGGTATTTTTCTCATTTTAAGGGTGCATAGTAGAGGGGAAGAAAAGAATAGGTCTCTCTCTTATCAAAACAGGGATTGTTTTATTGAAAGCACAATGGAGCCCCTTAGGAAAAATACGTCTAAGCTATAGCCGCCTCTGAAAAGATGCAGATTTTGTAGTTGTTTAGCTTCTAGAAACTCTCAGATCAAACTGGAGCCTCTTCCCCTGCATCCTTGTCTCCACATTTGGAGTAACTATTCTTAGCCAGTTCCCACTGCTGTATTTATTATTGTTGTTAATGTTGACACAATTGGAGGTTTCATTTTGCCAGGAGAAGCTCAATATAGGCATTTGATGTCATTACCTTCACACCATCACAGACAACAGGATTTGTGAGAAGCCTGTCTCTGACAGATCACTAATATTTTTGAAATGTGAAAAACTAGGACATGTTTTGGTGATTAGTCTATCTGTATAACTTGCAATAATGATTTATTACCACCTTTATTACCACCTCTTAGGAGCTAGATTCATGCTTCTTTACCAGAAAGAGCTGGGATGTTTATATTTCCCTGCATTAAAAATTATACTGGCAGAATTGAGGAGTTAACTCCGTAGACTGCTGCTCCTGCTGTCAAATTACTGGGGCACCCGTTTCACATCTGTAAAAACGTACTTCTTTACTTTTGGCAGATGGTCTCCACCAACGTTTATTTAGCACTCCATTAGAGTGAATTATCTCATTTAGTAACCACCAAGGTAAATTTACACTGTGTAAAAGCATATATCCAGACAGTGTTTCTATGGGATTCTTAAATTTTTATTTAGGATAATTTGGAATAGCTGGCTTCAAGAAAAATTTTCCTGAGTAGAAGATGTGGCTGTGGCCTGTGGCACTCACCTTTGACATTCAAGTGCATTTATTTTGACATTGACATTACTCTCCTACCAAGATCCCTTTTCCTCCATATATTTGGTACTTGTTGCTTTGTTGATAATACCTGGGTTTCATTGTGGTTTTGCTTTGCTTTTTTCTGATGAATATTTTTTCCTAGCTCTGCTGACCATTTTAATCCATTTTGAGAAATGTCTGTTCTAATCATTTGCCCCTTTTTAATTGGATCACTTTTTTATTGTTGAGTTCATTGGGTTTCTTACATAATTGTGGATATTAAAATTTATTGATATTATTGAAGTCATCTCTTTCTCAACTGTTGTCTTCCTAGAAACAGGGAAATTTGCCGTCTTTTTTTCCTGTGTGGCTCTGGTATTCAGCAGATGATAGGAGCTGGTTTAATAATTTGTTGAATGATTTGTTGGCTATATTGCTAAGGTCCCTTGTTAAAAGTAGTATCTCAGGGAGGACTTGAATGTTTTATTACTCAGGTGGCTTCAGGTTTTTGTATTTAAACCTCCTCAGTATTAAGATCTTGTATTGATAGTTTTTCTCTTATTTGGATATTGGATGATGTGTGCCACAAGTAGATGATCTCTAACAAGTAGCCCTGTAATATAATTCTTGTGTTTGTTCATTTATTTATTGGGTCGGTTGTGGGGCTTGAACACTGGGCCTGAGTGCTGTCCCTCAGCTCTTCAGCTCAAGACTATCGCTCTACCACTTGAGCCACAGCACCACTTATGATTTTCTGGTGGTTAATTGGAGATAAGACTCTCACAGACATTCCTCTCTGGGCCAGCTTTAAACTGCGATGCTCAGATCTAAGCCTGCTGAGTAGCTAGTATTATAGGCATAAGTCACTGGCACTGGCAATTCTTGTGCTTTAACTTGACTCCAAGCTTCTGTTTATTTTGCCTTTGTTTTGTTATTATTTCTGTTTATCCTTTTCTGAGTTTACTTTGAAAATATCTTCAAACAACATTGTAGCACATTGAGGTAAAACTAAAGTGTACTGAAAGCCTTCTGATTTAAGAGTTAGTTATTCAAAACCACTGGCTGAAGAGAGGGATTCATTAAGTATAAAATATGCATATGTTTCTGAATCTCTTATATATAAGCAGCATGGATCCCCTATTTGATAATCCAAGTGAACTGCTAAATCTCTTTGAAATTAGGACACAGAAACACTATTATTTCTGAAACTTGTATCCCCTCATTTGTTATAATTGCCCTACTCTTTCTTTTCCAGCCACTGTAAAGACATTCTTCTTGATTAAACTTTTTTAAGCATGCAAATATATAGGCCCATATATACTTTGTATGCTTATATTTTAGTGATTAATACAATTTATAATGGGATATATATAATTAAAAAGCACAACCAACATGAGCTAGATTTGGGGACGAAGAGAATGGTCTAACAGCTTGGAGCCATGTGCCTAATTGTGTTGAAGTGTCCCTCACAGGCTTCGTGCTGGTTGTATGAGAAGGATTAGTTAAGAGAGTTTCATGTCACTGCCTCTCTGAAAGGTGGGCTTTGAGCCAACTCTTAATAGTGTGCAATTAAAAACACACAGTCTAATGATGTCTGTCATAATCTGAGGATTTACATACCTGTATTTAGGCCTGCCCTACACCTCTTGATTTTCCTGTTATTGAAGACTTGAGCAGACCACTCTGGCCAGAAGAACTCTTTTGAAGTTGCTGATTTCAGGAGAATGAGAAGAGACAGGCCGATGAGATGGTGTCTTGCTGAGGGCTATTTCAAAGCAGATTTTCAGATGTATTTCACATGCAAAGTATGTGAATTGTTTGTATGCCCAGAAGGGTTCAGTGGAATCCTTCTAAACATACATATTGATGTATGGGAGGCCGATCTCAAGACCCTGGTGTGGGGCCTTGCTGGTGTGACACAGACTTCAGCTCTCTACCTTGCCCTCTGGGGAACCTTGTTTAATGGAAACAAGGTTCATCATTTCTCTAATAGATTAAATTTTTTTCTTGATTAACTTTACTGTGGAGTTGGCAAGAGTTGTTATCTGTTAATCAAAACAGTTTAAATAAAAAATAAAAAGATCAAACCTTGAGTCGGTTCTCATTCTCTGGCTCCCGGGTTGGGAATTAGCTGATCTTTTCAGGGTTGGTTTGTGACATGAAGCTGTCAAGATGGCGCTTCTTGTTAATTACTTTTTATTGTATTTAAGACACTTAAATAACTCTTCTTGTGATTTAGTCTTCTATGTAATTAGCTGCAGTGATTAAAATCTCATTCTTTCATTCTTGCCAGAGCCTTCTTAAAGAGTGAGTTTTTTCTAGGGTGACCTTTCCCTGTACTGGACTTCCCAATAACTTTGAGCTCCAATCTTGCAAACCCATATAATCTATTAAGTCATTGTGCATGTCTTTCTGCATATCACATTTTCTAAGAAAAGTGTGAGAAGAAAATCTCTTCACTCTTAGAAAATGTAAGTAATGTCAGGATTTATATGTAACACTTATTTTCATCCCCATCCTCATCTCTGGAAGACTTTCAGATACAAGAGAATACAATGGTACTAGGACTTTACCCTAATTCTTTCATCTTGTGATGTTTTGAGTGTTGCAAACTGCCATACATTTGAAAAGGGGAAAGAATGGAGATGGAATTATGGAAAAGGAACCATGGTGATACCATCTAGGGTAGGTTCTTTTTCTCTGCTAATAAAGAATAAAAAGGTGGGGAAGTGTCTAAACATTAAATTTATTACGAAGTCAGAGGAAAGAAGCATTAATAAGAGCCGAGACCGCAGTTGGGAGTCCAAATCCCTTTGTCTGAGCCCTGCCAGATGCTAGGTCCATTTCCTTCTCTCTTGGAGTAGTGTATCTTTGTCCTGATTGGTTGAGCCATGATCAGAAGTCTGTCTTGTTAGATCTCTCACACACTGACCAGGAGGACAGAAGTGTTAGGACTCATCTTGCACCAGGCACTTTTTTTGGAGGGGGGGGGGGGGGGTTGTGGGGCTTGAACTCTGGGCCTAGGTGCGGTCCCTCAGCTCTTCAGCTGAAGGTATGCGGCTTTACCACTTGAACCACAGCACCACTTCTGGTTTTCTGGTGGTTAATTGGAGGTAAGAGTCTCACAGATTTTTCTGCCTGGGCTGGCTTTGAACTATAATCCTCAGATCTCAACTTCCTGAGTAGCTAGGATTACAGGCATGAGCCACCAGTGCCCGGCTACCTTACACCTTTTATAAGGGCAAATGTCACTGTTTGGGGATCCATCTGGGATGGATTTGTGTTGTATCCTGTGCAGTTACCTGCTATGTGGACTTTTGTTCCAGTAGCCATTTTCTTCCCTTAATACCTCATGGGTCAGCTGCAGATGCCTGCTTATTTTCTGCATGTGATCATGATTTTAAGGAAATGGT